CTCGCGCTCGCACTCTATTTCGCTCGCTCTCTCTCTCTCTCCTTCTCTCTGTAACTCTTTCTTTCAAATAAATAACTGTTAAAAAAAAAAGTCATCATCTTTCTCCCCATTTAGCAAAGAGCTGTAGAAGTTTTTATCTCAGTTCTAAACCTCTTAACAGAAAGAAATCCAAAAAATACACGGATAAATTCACAAATATCTGTAAATATTTTTATAGTTTTTTAAATGTATATTTATTTGAAGAGACAGAGTGAGAGAGAGAGAGAGAGGTGCCTCCCATTCCTCTGGTTCATTCCCTAAATGTCCACAATAGCAGGTGACGGGCCACACTGAAGCCAGGAGTCAGGAACTCCATCCAGGTCTCCTATATGGGTAGGAAGAACTCACGTACTGCAGCCATCATCTGCTGCCTCCCAGTGTACACATCAGCAGGACACTGGATCAGAAGTAGAGGCACTGGGGGCGAACATCATGGTGTAACAGGTTAAGCCACCGCCTGTTACACCGGTATCCCATAAGGGTGCCAGTATGAGTCACAGCTACTCCACTTCTGATCCAGCTCCCTGCTAATGTGTCTGGGAAAACAGCAGAGGATGGCCCAAGAGCTTGGGCCCAAGTCATCCAAGTGGGAACCCAGATGAAGTTCCTGGCTTCCACCAGGCCCAACCCTAGTGCATGTGGCTATTTGGGGAATGATCCAGCAGATGGACAATCTCTCTCTCTCTCTCTCTCTCTCTCTCTAACTCTGCCTTTCAAATAAATAAAACAAACCTTAAAAAAAAAAAAAAAAAAGTAGAGACAGAACTGGAACCCAGGCATTCTGATACGGGATGCAGGCTTAACAACTGCACCAAACACCCATCCCCACAAGCATTTTATTACACCAGAAACTGATTTGTGTAATCACCTTAGAAGTGCTTTGTTTGTTTGCTGTTGTTGTTGTTGTTGTTTGACAGGCAGAGTTAGACAAAGAGAGAGAGAGACAGAAAGGTCTTCCTTTTTCTGTTGGTTCACCCCCCAAGTGGCTTCTACGGCTGGAGCGTTGTGGCCTGCACACTGAGCCAATCCAAAGCCAGGAGCCAGGTTCTTCCTCCTGGTCTCCCATGCGGGTGCAGGGCCCAAGCACTTGGGCCATCCTCCACTGCACTCCCTGGCCACAGCAGAGAGCTGGCCTGGAAGAGGGGCAACCGGGACAGAATCCGGCGCCCCAACTGGGACTAGAACCCGGGGTGCCGGCGCCACAGGCGGAGGATTAGCCTAGTGAGCCGCGGCGCTGGCCAGAAGTGTTTTTTCCCAAATGATTTGTCAGAAATTTGCCAGTATGTTGGAAACATTTACCTCTGGGCAATTCTGAAGCACTAAGGCAAGCTTAAACATTCTTTTCCATGCATACTGATACAAAACCAAATCAAAGATCTCAAAGAACCTACAGCTTAAGCACCACACAATGAGTCCATAATGCAAGGGAGAGATAATCTGTAATTGGAAAAGCAAGACTTTGGAATTATATTATCCAAGGTTAAAATTCTATCTCAGCCAATTGTGTACTTAAATTACTTAACCACTCTGAGTTTTATTTCCTCTTCTGTAAATTGGGATTTTTGACCTAGTTGCTACATGAATTTAAATACATATATATATATATGGAAGCTAAGGAATACAAAGGTCTAGCAAAGTGTAGCAATTACCATAAACCAACATCTTGGAGCCAATGAATGTACACAAAATTTTAAAACTGGGTTTTAAGCGGAATGTGTTAAGAAGCTGATACACACAACAAGTAAGTAAAGACTAAAGGGTGAACTCTACAAATACCCTAATAATAATAATTTTTTAAAAATCTGCTAACTGGCTAAAAGGCAGGCCAGGATTCTCTAGACTGGAGTCTAGGGTTAGCTCTCTGCTTTCCAACCAACCGAAAGGTTTGCAGAGTGGAGGGAAGGATGGGAGGGGTTAAAATCTTCAAAAGCGTCTGCTTCAAACAGACTCGGGGGCACATTTCAAGTTCATGGAGGGAAGCAGCAGCTCAAGTTCCAGTGCAGCAACACTGAACTTCGGCAGCGCTTCCCCTCAAGCAGGAATTCTTTGCTGGCACAAACATAATGCTACTCTATTGTCAAGCATTCATACCTATTGTGTCAACATTGTCCGGACAAAGTATAGTCTCTGCTGGGACATTAAACCGAAGAAAACAGGTAAGAAAAAAATCAAAGCTTATATATTACAAGGTAAGTGTGTAACAGCAAGTACAGTAACAACTTTCCTCTCTCTCTCTCAGCCTCCCCAATCTAAAATGTCAGTGTCATCCCTCCCACCTCCAGCATCAATGGCTTCCAACGGCGTTAAGATAAACACCAAACCTCAAAACAGGATTGACAACGTCCACCAGGGTCTGATTCCTGCTTCCCCCTCCGGCATCTTCTCATCTCTGCACCAGGGACTCAGCAGGCTCTTCTCAGATCTTCTAACCTGTCATTCCCTCTGGCCACAGGACCTTTGTATGTATTATTCTCTCTCACATAACATTCATCTATCTTTGCCTAGGAAAAGGTCACCTCCTCCTTGAAAACAGATCGCAATTCTCACTTCCAAAGGAAAACACTCCCTTACCTCACGCAGTATGGTATGATTGAGAGCACAGGTCCTGGGGTTCCCAGCCTTAGGTCTGCACTTGCACGCTCTACAGCTTTGAGCAAGTCACACAGCACTTTCTGCTTCACTTTCCTCCTCTGTCAGCAGAGCATATACGGCTGCTTAAGGACTACAGAAAATATTTCAAGAAAAGCCACAGAGCAGTATCTGCTACAGAGTTCCAGATCACCTTGACTTCGTCAAATTCCTCTACTTTGTTACAACATCAGGACCTCTCCCCTACACTTACTTGTTTCTCCCAAGTAGACTATAATCTGCGGCATTAATCATAATTAATCCCTAGAGCTGGAACACAGGAGGCATTTAACAAAGATTTACCCGGGCAGGGAAAACAGCTGAACAAGAAGCTGAAGCCCAGCAAAGGGACCAGTCCTATACACAAAGCCCCCTGTGTAGGAGTCCAAAGTCCAAGGCTTTCCACTACACCGCGCCTTCTCCTAATGAACACATTATGTGTCTTACAACTACAAGTGATGTGGCCAACCAAGATGGAAAGATCACAGAGTGGGTTGGGCATTGTGGCAACAGCTGGTCAGGCCACTGCTTAGAACACCTACATCCCCTATCAGTGTGCCAACTGCAGTGCCGGCCACTCTGCTTCTGAGCCTTCTTCTTAATAATGCACCCTTGGAGGCAGCAGTCGATGGCACAAGTGCGTGGGCCACCTCCCAGGCAGGAGATCCAGAGGGAGTTTCACAATCTTGCTTCCACCTGGCCCAGCCCTGGCTATTATTACAGGCATTTGGGAGTGAACCAATAAATGGAAGATTTTCTCTTTCTGTGTCTGCTTTTCAAACAAATAAACTTCTTTTAAATTCACAGAAAAAAATTTTTTTAAAGATTATAGAATGATAAATATTAAAAATCAAGAACCTTATGACCACCAAAGAAGGATGTACTTTTCTCTGAAGGGAGGAGAGAACTTCCACTTTGCTTATAGCCTTGTCTAAATACTAATGGAGATTGTGGATTTAAAAGGCGTCCACAGCCTAGGAAGCTCATGTCAAGAGCCTCAGGTGGTCACTGACATCATACGTAAGAGTGTTAATTGTTAAATTAACAACAGGAGTCACTGTGCACTTCCCATATATAGGATCTCTGTCCTCAATGAGTTATAAGAATTAACTATAAAACTTGTTCTCAAATAGTGTGTGTGCATGTGTGTGTGTGCAAACTGTTGAAATCTTTATTAATATAAAGTCTGTCTTTTGTGTATAAAGTTAATTGAAAATGAATCTTAATAGAGAAAGGGACTGGGAATGTGAGAGGGAGGAGGAGGTGGGGTGCGAGTGGGGCTGGGAGGGTGGGTATGGGGGGAAGAATCAGTATATTCCTAAAGCCATACTTACGAAATTTGTACTCCATAAATAAAAGGTTTCTTTAAGGGTGAAAAACAACCGTGTGCCAACAGAGAACAGCAAGAGCATTTGGAAGCGAACACCAAGGACACACAGGTGCAGCTCTGCCTCTTCACTCTGCCCAGCCGGCCTCAGCTCAGCAGCAGGGGGCAGATCATGCCTAAAGCGTCTTCCGGTTCTAAATTTCAGAGACAGCAGTTCATGTTATGCTGCCTTTTTCAGAGTTTTCTGCTTTTTCTTCAAAAGTTTAACAAGTACACTGAGCCAGCTGGCAGGTGTTCAGGGCGCCTTCACTTTTAAAGAACTTTGTTCTTTTGTCACTTTTAAAGTCACTTTGTTCAAGTGACTTCATAAACTCAGTTAATACAGTAGGTTAGGCAGTCTATGCCCAGAAATAACTAGACTTCACATGCAAGGAACAGAGTAAACAGGAGCACACGAACACTCCGACCGGCAAGGCAAGCAGCCAGGCGCCTGGGTCATGCAGAACACAGGGTAGATGTGTTTAGAATCCGGCTAACCACCACGCAGAAAAGAAAAATAAACTCACAGGGCACAGTCACATACAGTATGACGCGGTGTCACGGACTAAGGCAGGCGTAGACCGCACTGGCACCCCGACTCCTCACAGCACTTTCAAAGCCCAGACACACTCACCACGCTAACTGCCGCGCCGCACACACACACGGAAACCGCCCCAGGCCAGCAGCCGCACGCCGGCCCGGCAGGGCAGAGAGCCGCCGGCTGCCAGCCTCTGCTAGGCCGCTGCGCTCCGGGATCCTCGCGGGCCACGGCGGCCACGGGGGATGCCCCGTCGGCCCGCCCTAGCGTGGAGCCCGGGGGGCGGCACGAGGGCCGCGGACACCGGTGTCCCCAGGCGCCGCCGGGGCAGCGGGACGCAGCCGGCGCTGCCCGCTCCCCGACCACTGAGGAGCTGTGTGAACAGGAAGCCCAGGGAGCCCAGGCCGCCGGAGCCCCGCCGCGGCTCACCTTCAGGGTCCTCAGAGCCGCGCTTCGCATCAGCTGCTGCGGCGGCAGCCTCCCACGCCGCCCAGCCGTAACCAGCGCTACTGCCCCTACCCACAGCCCCGCCATTGCAACCCCGGCGGACCGGCGCTCGGCTGACCTCTGACCCCGCCGAGGGGGCGGAGAAGGGGAGCGCCTGGGCTCCGGCCAATCACAAGCCGAAGACCCTAAGCCCCGCCCCCTGCTGCCCGGGGAGAGGGAGCCAAGAGGGTCGAGTGGAACCGCCGAGGCTGGGAACCAGGATGGGAGCCAGGCTGAGCCGGAGCGAGCTAGGACCCGAGGGAGCCGGAGGGCGGGCCGATGCGCTCGACCTTAGTCCGGCTACAGGCCGCTGACCCGAGGCAACCCCGGGAATGGGAACGGCAGCCTGCTCGGGGTAAAGCCGGCTGTGTCCCGGCGGCCGCTGGGCAGCCCAGGCGCAGCCGTGCCCTGAACGTCCGTGACTCCCTTGAAGTCGGGCCGCCCTGCGGCTGTGAAATCGATTCCTAAACATCGAACCGAGGGAACGTGGACAACATAAAAAAAGTTCTCGGTCTAGAAATCAGATCCGAGCTCACCTCTTCTCTCTCAGTCCAAGCTGGAATCCGTGTTAGCGCAGCCACTAAGCCGGCTCTTGGGCTGCTTGCCTCCAATTCTGTGCTGCTCAGCTCTGCAAGACCCCTGCAGCTGACGCAGTATATGCCAGAGAGAGCCACTCAGCTAGTAAGTGTTTAACCGGGGCTTGAGCTCAAGTCTGCCTGCAGTGTTCATGAACCAGGCACTTGTTTCGTTGTATCGTTTTGTTATCCTGTGTTAATTTTCAAACACAAAAAACAGAAAATAGCATTGTGATAACCCAGGCACCCCTCGGTTTCATTTTGTCACTCCTCTTTCATTTATTCCTCCACCCCACCCCACCCCACCCCTTTTTTAAGCTTTATTTTCACTGATTTGAAAGGGAAAGAGAAAACAGAAAGAGGGAGAGCCAGAGAGAGATCTTCCATACACTGATTCACTCCCCAGAGGGCCACGATGGCTAGAGCTGGGCCAGGCTGAAACCAGGAAACCAGAACTCCAGGTGACCCATGTGGGCGGCAGGGGCCCAGACACTTTGGGCCTTCCTCCGCTACTTTCCCAGGCTCTTTAGCAAAGAGCTGGATCAGAAACGGAGCAAGATGGATTTGAACCTGAAGTCCAATATGGGACTCCGGGATTGCAAGCAGTGGCTTAACACACTGCACAGGCCTCCCCATTTTCCCCCTTTTATTATTATTATTATTATTATTATTTTGCTGGAGTATTGAAAGCAAATCTCAGCCATCAGATCATCTCACTGATAAATATTACAGTATACAGAGTTTGCTCTGAAGTGCTGTGCATCTCTGAGAGTCACCTTGTGACTGGCTCTGTGGCACAGATTAATCCTCCACCTGCGGCAACGGCATCCCCTATGGGCACCGGTTCTAGTCCCGGCTGCCCCTCTTCCCATCCCACTCTGCTATGGCCTGGGAAAGCAGCAGAAGATGGCCCAACTCCTTGGACCCCTGCACTCGCATGGGAGACCAGGAAGAAGCACCTGGCTCCTGGCTTCGGATCCGCGCAGCTCCGGCCGTTGCAGCTATTTGGGGAGTGAACCAACAGAAGGAAGACCTTTCTCTCTGTCTCTCCCTCTCACTATCAGTAACTCTACCTCTCAAATAAACACAAACAAAATCTTCAGGGACATCCTGAGTTTGTTTTCAATACTTTTTTTAAGATTTATTTTATTAATTTGAAAGAGTTAGAGAGACAGAGAGAGAGATTAGATAGAGCTTCCATCTGCTGGTTCACTCCCCAAATGGCTACAATGGCTGGAGCTGGGCCGATCTGAAGTCAGGAGTCAGGAGCTTCATCCTGATCTCCCACATAGGAGGTAGGTGCCCAAACACGTGTGCCATCTTCCATTGCTTCCCCAGGCCACTGGAAGGGAGCTATATGGGAGGTGGAACAGCCAAGACACAAATAGGCACCCATATGGGATGCTGGCATTGCAGTTTTACCCACTACACCACAACACAGGCCCTTAAATGGTATCATTTTATCATCTTTTCATTGAAAGGCACTTACAGAAGAAACTGCTTAGCCTCATATATCCATTCTCTGTTCATTTCTTTTTAAAAGTGTTCCTGAATTTAGTGTGGCACATGGCCATCCAGTCAAAGGCTGCAGTATCCAGTCCCCGCTTATAAGAAGGAGTGGCCATATGACTAGGGTCTAGCTTGGAATGGAAGGACTGCCCTTAAAAAACAGTGAGTGTGCCACCTATGTCATCTTCTCTCCTTCCTAGTGGAAGACACATTGTTAGGGGCTGGAGCAGCTATCTTCATCATAGATGAAGCAATAAGATATGAGGAGGTGAAGCTGGTGCCTGCAGTGCAGGTATCAAGTCCCAGCTGCTCCAATTCCAATCCAGCTCTCTGCTGTGGCCTGGGAGACCAGTGGAAGATGGCCCAAATGGGCATCTGCACCTGCGTGGGAGACCTGGAAGAAGCTCCTGGCTCCTGGCTTCAGATAGGCACAGCTCCGGCCATTGTGGCCATCTGGAGAGTGAACCAGCAGATGGAAGACCTCCCTCTCTCTCTCTGCCTCTCCTTTTCTATATAACTCTGAATTTCAAATAAAAATAAATTAATTAATTAAATTAAAAATAAAGATGACCCAAGACCTTGGGCCCTTGCACCTGCGTGGGAAACCTGGAAGAAGCTCCTGGCTACAGGCTTTGGATGAGCCCAGCTCCAGCCATTGCAGCCATCTGGGGAGTGAACTAGCAGATGGAAGACCTCTCTCTCTCTCTCATAAATAAATGAATGAATCTAAAAAAAAAAAAAAAAGTCTGTCAAAAGGTATTTAAGAAGGCAAAACAGTACAAAAAGAACCTTTATGGACCTGACGCTGTGCAGATGCTGTAGTAGCCAGCCCTGGAATATTAGGTTCAGGTTTTTCTGCAAAATAGAAAAACACTGTATCTCAGTTCACTTACTGTGTTTTGTTCTGTTTTGCTTTGCTTTTGTTACAGCGTCCAAACATATACCCTAACTAAAAAAGCACTTATATTCTTGGCTTTCTCAGGTGAAGTCTAGGTTCTAAGGAAGCTGAGTGCAGGTGTGGCAGGCACAGGCCCTCCAAACTCGTTCCCTTTTGGCATGAATTCCCCTGCACACCCTTATCGTCGATGTGTCCAGACCTCCTTTACAGGTGGTGTTGTAAGACTCCAGTCCTGGCTGATGCAATGTACGTAGACAGGAAATCTACTGCCTTCTAGGCTTGGCACAGAAAAGCCACATGCAATCTCCCACACCTGCCTTTCCCTGCGCAGCTGCCGATTCTCAGCTGGGCACAGCCAGATGGAGCCTGGGGCCCTGAGGCGCTAAGGAGAACAGCTCCTTCTCGCCTTCCTGCACTAAATGAGATAAACCTTTTATTTTCGTAGGCCATTGAGATTTGGGGATTGCTGGAGCAGTTAGTCTCCCCAGCCTATACAATAATAGCAGAATTTAGAGGAAAACTAAGTAGAGTAAAATAAAAGAGACTATATAAATCAGAAGGAAAAAGAGCAACGTAGATCTCATTTTTCCTTGAAAAGGCAATAAAGGTACCCGTAAAAGTATATAATTCATCAGCATTATCAATGCACAACTCTTCCAACTCAAAATGACAACTATTTCACTATTAATAAAACTAAATTAGACTACTGCTTAAAACTTTGTCAGAATAAAAACAGGCATGAACAGTATGTTGTGAGTACAGTATTCATCCCTGGTTAACAACCAAAGCCTCTGAAAATGTGGCAAAGAGGATGAGCATTTGGCCTGGCAGTTAAGACATGGTGTGAGACGTCCTAATTCATATCAGAGCACCTGAGCTCAAGTTCCAGTTCCACATTCGATTCCAGATTCCTGCTAATGCAGACCTGGGAGGCAGAGATGATGGCTCAAGTAGTTGAGTTCCTATCATCCGCATGGGAGACTTGGACTGAATTCTAAGCTCCTGGCTTTGGGCTAGCCCAGCCCAGAGCATTATGGGCACTGGGGGAGTGAACCAGCAGATGAGAGTTCTCTCTCTCGTTGCCTCTCTCTCAAATAAACAAAAAATGACTTCACTAGAAGAGGGCACTTTAGAACAGGGGTCTGCAAAAATTTTCTGTAATGAGATAGAGTAAATATTTCAGGATGTAAGGATCACATGCATCTCTGTCACAAATCTGCTTAGCTCTCAGACTCTAGAAAAATGGGGGCAGGCCAGACTTGGCCTAAAATGTAGTTTGCTAATCCTACTCTGTGGTAGTACTACTCTAAATGTAATCCCAGAATCAGTGCCAATCTGCAAATCCTTGCAAGAAGTCTATGATTATACAAGAACACCTGTCTACTATTGCTAATAGGGCTGTGGTAAGATAAATGCTGCTCTGTTTGTTTTTATGGCAACAGAGATCTGTAATCAACACTGAATGCTAACACTGGAATGCAGACCACACTTCGCATTGTGCTCCTATGGAAGATATGTGTCTTATTTTTAGGTGCCCAACATCATTTAAACACCTTTCCAACGTTGAGGGATTTCCCATATGATAAGTTCTTTCCAAGAGAGACGCACAAATGTCTTTGGTCCTCCTTCCTGGTAGGCAGAGTACAGGCAAATGACCTAGCTACATGGTAGCTGCAGCCTAAAGCAGCCTGGATTCAAGACAGCACTGTGTGACATGACTGCCACAGCAGGATCCATTTCCCGGGGAGGGAACAACAGAGGCTCCCAGCACTGACAGGCACCAATGGTGGAGGTTCTAGCATCAAATACTGGCTGCAGTGTCCACGTCTAACCCTAAGCAGCATTTCGGGGTTTGCCGTGTCTTGTAGAAGCAATGGGGCCTTTTTTCTTGGCTATGTATCCTCCAAGTCAATTGTTAGGCCCTTTGCAGATCTTATGAGTCAATCCTCCCTAGTAGATTCCATTTTTATCTAAACTGGATAAAATCACAGGAAGTGATTAGAGACAAGTCTTCAGGAACAGGCAAGGCCTAGGTTCTGAAGTACTAGATTATACTAGGGAGTTCAGGTTTTTTATCTTCAAGGGTAGACATCACTCTGGAAAACACGGGAACGTGGGCCACAT